CCCTTTTTTACTTGCTGGGCTAATGGACAAGATGTTTTAAATACAGATCCATGCTTGAAGTTGTCTTTTTCTTGGAATGTGACTGTGGCAGTTAATATGATAACAGTAGTATCAGATGAGATGGATTAGAAAGTACTTTGCTCAGGATAGGTGAACCTACCTGGTGGTCTGCTCTTCCTTTTAGAGGAGCTAAATCCCATGTGCTGTGGCTCACTGTACAAGTTATAATTTATTAAACTGTTATATTCATGAGATTATGTCAGAATTCCCTTGTTCTGTCATGTACATGATTGCTTTGGGGGCTCCAGGAGGTCAAACTCTGTCAGTGTCAAGCATAATTATTTTCTGAATATATTCACACCCCCCTGCAAAAGCCAGGGTTTTGCCTTATTTAAGAGTGTACTCATTGGTTTACAGCCTTTGATGAGGCTTTCTAAGCTTCAACTGAATGACTAAAATCTGTAAGAAACAGATTCTCTGAGGATGGTATTATGACATAAAACACATGGAATAAAAATTTTGTATTTCCATAAAAAATTCAAGACATAATGTTTATTTTTGCACATTGATGCAGCTATCTGTATGTGTTTGGGCCCATGGTGGTAAACACACAGTAATGCACATTAGTGGTTTTTCTAATGCACATTAAGTGCACTACTAAGGCACATAACTAGTTTTTCTGAATTAGTGATTTTATACATATAAAACAAACTAATAATGCCCCACTTTATAATGAATTTGAAGCTTATAAAATGTGACAGCTACTGATGTTCTCCACCAGTACACATTGGTTTGTCCCAATATAGTGGGTGGCAGGTTTACATAGTGAAAATATTAATAGCGTATATTAATAGCAAATATTAATAGCATCACTGAAAAGTTAATACTACAATGAGGGGGACAGGTGGAAACACAGTGTCTATAAGTGGAAGACCAGGGGTCACAGCCAAACAGAGTTGAGTTGTGGTAAACTAATATGTTGTCACCCATCCATTGAATCAACATAACTGACCTTGTGTTTGTTTCAGCTTTGGGGAAAATAATTTAATGTCAAGCTCTTTGACTGATGTCTTGCTCACCAATTGTAGGAATACTATTTCACTCTGAAATTCTAATAGTCCTTTCTCTGTCATCACAGTATAAGCTTGTGCTAATAACTACAAAAAAAATCACAGAATTGTTAGAATTGGAGAGGACCTCTGCAGGTCCCCCAGTCCAACCCCCTGCCACAGAGCAGGTCACACACCCAGGTGAGTTTTGAATGTCTCCAGTGAGGAAGACTTCATGACATCCCTCGTCAGCCTTTTCCAGTGCTCTGTCACCCTCAATGTAAAGAAGTTCTTTGTGTTGAGGCAAAACTTCTTGTCTTTTAGTTTATGACTCTTGCTCCTTGTCCTGTGACTGGGCAGTACTGAAAAGAGCCTGGCACCATTGTTTTGGTGCCTGCCTTTGAGATATTATATACATTAAGGAGATTCACTCTCAGTTTTCTATAGACTCAGCAAGCCCAGCTCCTGCAATCTCTTCCCATAAGAGAGATACTCCAGACTCCTCCATGATCTTGGTGGCCTTTGCTGGACCTCTCCAGTAGCTCCTTGCCTTGTACTCAGGAGCCCAGAATGGGACACAGCACTCCAGGTGTGGCCACCAGGGCTGAGTAGAGGGGTGGGATCACGTTCCTTGACCTGCTGGGCACACTCTTCCCAATGTCCCCAGGATATCACTGGCCCTCCTGTGGCAAGGGCACACTGCTGGCTCACAGAGTTTGTCATCCACCAAGACTCCCAGGTCCTTCTCAGCAGAGCTGCTCTCTGGAAGATCAGCCCCCAGCTGGTACTTGGGGTTATCCCTCCCCAGGTGCAGGACCTGCTATGAGTTGAACTTCATTTAGTCTCTGCCCAATTCTCCAGCCTACCAAGGTCCCACTGGATGGCAGCATAGCATTCCGATGGATCAGCCACTCTCCCCAGTCTCACATCATCATCAAGCCTGCTGAGGGTACATTCTATCCCTTCATCCAGGTCATTGCCAAACAAGTAGAGTAAAAGTGGACCCAGTATTGATCCCTGGGGAATGCCAGAGACTGCAGGCCTCCAACTGGATTCTGTTCCACTGATCTCAATCCTCTGAGCTCTGTCATTCAGGCAGTCCTTGATCTACTACTTCACTGTCTGTTCATCCAACCCACACTTCCTAAGCTTACCTACAAAGATGTGTGAGACAGTGTCAAAAGCCTTGCTGAAGTCAAGGTAGACGACATCCACTGCTCTCCCCACACTGACCCATCCTGCCAAGTCATCATGGAAGGCTCTCGGATTGATCAAACATGCTTCCTCCTTGGTGAATCCATGCTAACTACTCCTGACAATCTTATTTTCTTCTACATGCCTGGTGACAAACTAAATAAATAACATCTTTGTGCTGAAACATTTACTTGCTACTGTGTAGTAGTTTGATTCTGGCAGCTGGTGATCTTTTCTTCCTTCACTGAGAGGAAAGCACAACAGCTACTTTGAGGGAAGGCATTTTTCAACTCATGTTCCAGTGGATACTACACCAAATTTTATTTGTGGAAAACTACAGCAAGCCCCCTTATTTATTTTGCCCAAACAGTTATATGAGTTCCCCTCAGTGTTCCCCTTATTGTTAATACTTTTACAAAAATATTATTTAAAAAATAAACTATATTTATAAAAAAATTAAAAATTCTGACAGCTAAAGATCTGACAAAAAATAGGTTCATATGCATATTGAGAAAATAAAACAAAATAAAACAAATATTTAAAAATGCATCACAATTTTCAGTAGAATAAAAATTCAGTACTGTATGAAACACTGAAATGGTACTGGTATAGAAAGAAAAGTCAGTTATAAAAGTCATATAAATCACATACTCATTTCTAGCTTCCATCTAACCACTGATATTCCCTTAGAAATCAAAAGGGAAAAAGTGAGTAACCCTTTCCCTATCAGTAAAGAACAGTGATATGTGGGAAACACAAGTAAATGCCTATGAAAGGTCAGCAGAATGAAGGAATGTGGGGACTGGGCCACATGAGCATGGAGAGTGAGAAGAGAAGGATCAGGTCCTTCTGGAGGTGGGAATGAGCAGAGTGGGCTGGGCAGGGAGGATGGAGAGCAGCACCCTGACTGAGTGGGACATGATTTCTGGGAGGCCCGGTGGGAGCAGGGAGGGGCTGGTTTTTGTGAACCATGCAAATCTCTCTCTAGTAAAACCCCATGTAAATATATGAGGTATGTTTGGCACATGGTTGGAAATCTGTCCCAATACCTAGATATTTGGAAAATAGAAATCTATTTGGCTTATTAAAAAAGTTTGGAATATATTGGCCTCTAGAACTGGGGTAAAAAGTATAATGAACAGACCTCCCTCCCTCCTCCAGTTTCCAACATCGCTTTTTTTTTAAATTTATTTCAACAGAAGGAGAATTCTTTTAATTACAAAAAAAAAAAAAAAAAAAAAAAAAAAAAAAAAAAAATTAAAACAGTATTTGCAAAGAGTTTTGGCTTGGTAACCGTCTGCCTGCCCAGAAAGTACTGCTCACTTTCCTCTTCCTTTCCATAAGTGAAAATATTAGTCTTCAGCTGGGGTTATCAGCACCTGAATGTGAAGTGTTTTTCCCTTCTGTTCCTCTCTGCTGGTGCCCATTCAGGGAGTTCTGTTAGCTTTACAGCTTTCCCCAAAATGAAATGCAGGGGGCTATGGCATGGGTAGCTGCAGCTCTCATCAGTAATAGAAGAGAAAAATGAAGACAGCCACTAGAAAATCTCAATTTCATGGAACAGATATTTTCTGTTTTAATGAAAATAACCTTAATGAAAAATTTCCACCTAGCTCACCACTCAAGTCTTCTCTGAATATGTCAGACATGCCATTTTAGTTATTTACCTCTAATAGAATCACTGAATCATTTTGACTGAAAAACACCCTTAAGGCCATCAAGCCCAACCATAAAGCTAACACTGCCACAATTGGTTGGAAGCTAAGTCTCTGCAAAGTTTAGCTTTTATATTACATTACGTGTTTTAATGTTAGAATGCCCCTTGACTCACTAGTATAATGGTGCTTCAAGAGCAGCAAATTATCCTAATACATTAGTAAAGTTTTGTGACATTTGCCAGTTTATCTTTGGTTACATCAGGAAGGGAAATGATACTTGATTTCCTCTTCTGAGTAATTACTTTCTGCATTGCATCTCAGGCTTCACTCATTAAGCTCTGAGCATACTGAGATGACAGATCAAGAGGCTTCTATGTTTTGTTTGGAATTAAAATATTCTAGATATTCAGAGTGTATGTAGACACCTACTCACACATGTATGTATGGGTGCTTGTGTGGCCCTACTTCCATATAATAGAACAGTAAAATCTTCCCATAGAGATTCCAGTTGATTAACTTCTTGTCAAATATTTGACTTGCTTCTATTTTTCAAAACATTATATCTACAATTGCTGGAGTTAGATCTTTAGAATAATTTATTTATAAAACTTGCTTTCATATAATCACAATAATAGGTATTATTATAGCACTAATCAGAAATGTACCAGATATTTTTATGAAAGAAAAAGCAATAGACAATAGAAAAAAAGAAAATAGAAATGTAAAAAAGAGTTTATGGGTTAGTATGAGGTGGCCAGTTGAAAATCAATATTGGCATTTAATATCGATATCGGAGATGACCATTACAGTACGTGAAATAACTCCTCACTCTTCTTTGGCTTCGTATCATGCATAAATCTTGTCCAAAAGACATTTCTAAGGTAAGCATAGAAATTTTTCCCTGAAAATGTTAAATAACATGTTTTATATTTTGCTTTCTGTATCCTCTCTCTTTTCTCTCTCTGCCTCTCTAATTTTTCACTGAGTTTACCAATTCAATTTTAATTGGGACAATTTTCCGTCAAAACTCTAGTCAATTCTATCCACTGGAGGGTATTTTTAGAAAAAATATTCTTAAGGAAAAAAAGTCAGTACTTACATTATTGAGGAGAGAAAATAGGCTGAAATGGAGGTGGGAAAAGAAGAAAACAATTATCAAGTAAGAAAGGCCATTGCATGAAAGGATAGTAGAGGTTCACTCCCCTTTGGGAGAAAGGAGAGTCAGAAGAGAAAAACATGAACATGAACAGGCCCATAGGAACCCAGAAAGTAATTTGTGGTTAAAAAGAGGCTATGGCTCACAGCTGAAGTATCCAAAGGCTAAAATTAGTAATAGAGCAAAGGCATGACTGTGAGCATAGTGCCAGAGATGCACTGCAGCAAAAAGAGCAACTGAGACTCAGAAGTGCTGGAGAAATGTTTTGCTTGAATTCTGGTTTGTCCTGGAGTGAGAGAGCTTTCCTTGCTTTAAGCAAGAGAAAAATAATAATGAATCATCAGCAAATACCAAATCAACCTTGTGAGAGAAATGGGAAATCGAGAGACAGAAATCTTGATACTAAAATAACAAAGAGTGTTATTCCTGCACTTGACTGGCCCTGTAGAATCCTCTTTATCCTCATGGCTGAACTAATTAACTTAGTTCTCTACTTCTGAGGAAGCACCAGTGCTGCTTTAGACTCTAATTCAAGGTCACTTCATGTATGCAGTACAAATTTGGGGAGAGAGAGTTCAATATTGCCAGTGCCTTGTCTTCCCTGTTAGAAAATAACTTTGTTAGGAAGGTGATGAAGCAATTGAAGGAACATATTCATCAAATCACAGACACATATGATTTAGATAAGGAGAGAATAAATTTTTTTTCTTAAAAGAACAAGCACATCTGGTTACATACTGTGACTGGGCGAAGGCACGTATCATCCTATGTTTTTGAAGATAGCAAGGAAGATTTATGCTCTAATTCTGTAAATCTATGTCAGAGTGCCATAAATTTAGAAGTAATTTGCTTTGATAACTAACTGGAAAATTAATGTAATTCCTAACAAGAAAGTGCATGTTTATAACATAAACGTGCTGTGATAAAATGCCCTAAGAACTAAATATCCTGGAAAGAATTTTAATTCTTATAAAGATAAGTGATTGAAGGAATGCTAATTCTCTCTTTACTAGGAATGATGAGGAATGACTATGTACTACAGCTACATACCAAATGTCTTGAAGAAACTTATTTTTACAGGAAAAGTTTCTGAACCTTTTTTTTTCCAATGTGTTAATATACTTTAGTAAGTAAAGACACATAAGAAAAATGAATATTACATTGTGAAATGTGGCCCTACAATTTTCTAAAGAACTGTTATGAATAAAACACTTTATTATGAATAAAATGCCTAGCAGTGCTGGAATCATTGCAATCAGATGTTAGGCAGGCAAAAGAACTCAGAAGAAAGGGATGTCAGTAATTTGGTGGTCAGTAAGTGCTTCCAGAATTACAAATGGAAATAATTCAGTCTTCAATAATGATTTTTAAAAAGCAATAAAAATGAAGCATTTCTGAGGGATATAAACCAGTTTCACACTAATGATGTAGGAAAAAAACATTCTCTGCATTTCAGATAAGTCCCAGAGTTTGTAACAAGTAATTGGGCAAATGAAAGGTAGAACAAAAGAGCTGCTGAGAAGTTTTATATATTTTTTTGTCTTACATTAAAGAAGAGAACAAAACACAGGGACAATTAGGCCGATAACCATGAAAAAAACTTAAAATTATCACATTTGGAAAACAGGAAGACTGTGGGTTAGATGACATTGCCAGATATGCAACCCCTAGTCGATAATTTTATCAATTGTGATAAGATGGTCATTTTCAGAAATGGTGTTTTTCATACCATTAGACATAATATCTCTTAGTTTTCAAATAGTATCTCATCTTTGATATAATAGTTTGTTGTGAAAATGAATAATTCTAGCATGATTGTACAAAAGACGGGAAAATTATTTTCATAAATTTAGATTTTTTTCACTAAGACTATCTTGTTTTGTTTGAATAAAACATTTACAGATTTCAAATATTGATTTTATTTTTGAAATCAGTATTATTCTAGTAATGTAACAGAACATTATGTACTTTATTAGGAGTTTTCTTTTTGGGGGGAATTTCCTAAAAGTATGACACTATTTTTTACAAAAATACAGGGAAAACTCCCAGAATTCTGTAGTGTGCACTACCAATTATACTATGGATCTGATATAAACTTACGGATATTTAAATATGATACAAATATTCCAAATAAGTCGATTGGCATCTTTATAAACTATAGTTTATCCCTAATTATAATTGGTTTCTTGGCCATTAAAGAAATACAAAATCTTCATTAATATTTTTTCTTCTCTGTAATGAAATTTGTTTTGTGTGATCATTTTCCTGAAAAACCAGACATTTACTCATTCAGCATGGAATCATGGCAATAGCCACATCCCTCAGCTACAGCTCTTTGGTCTGACAGTTCTGAGGAACTCTGGGTGAGCTCACAGTTTATGAGCAGTGTGATCCTGAAGGCTGCAGCATATTCTACCTGCTGATGTGGCCACAGTGATGTAGGACAGAGCTGGGGCACTGAAGACTGAATTTGTGACATTGGACCTGCCCTTCTTGCTCTTGGGGTAACAATCAGGAACTGTGAATGGGAAACCAGTGCCAGAATTAAGCCCAGAGTTTGCTTTGGAGTAAGTCTTTGTATGGTGGTGTAAGGGTGCAGCTGCCTGATGCTGTGAGATTACAGGGGGGAAAATGGGTACTCATAATTGATGAATTTTGAATACTACTGTCCAACTAGTCCATGAATTCCCATCCTCAGGAACCCAGCAACAAGTGGGAAGGAACTGGAGACTGCTCTTGATATCCAGCAAAATCAGGGGAGAAGTGGTCAGTACAACAAAGAAAAACCCTAATTTTTGCAAAATAACCCCAGTTCCAAGTCTAGCAAGAAGGTACTGATTGCTGAGGGCAATCAGTACCTTCTGTGCTGAGGTCCCAGAATTTTCAAGAGCAGATGGTGCGTTTCTATATGAAATGTTTAATGATGTGTGCTAATGAAGTGGGCTTTTACACTGTTTTAGGACATAGGGGCCCTTTTCAGGCTCCAGGTACACTTTGTTCTCTTATATCGGGTGGAACTCAGTGAATGAAAAGAAGTAAAAGACTGTTACTTTGCTTGAAGGGAAATTCACTGCAGTCAGGGTGCCAAATATCTCTGTATACATTAATAAACTCCAAATGTATCTGCAGGAAGAAAATTGTTTAAATGAACTGCATAATTCAACATACCCCACAACCCTCTTTAAGATTTTCTTCCTTCTGCAGCAATTTACTATGGGAATGTGTTATTTTATCCTAAAGTGCTCAACAACAGTTACTGCTGTTTTTTCAGCAAGAGGTCCTTGTGAAGCCCCTGCCAGACCAGCTTCCCACATGCCTGCTTGTAGATCTCCAGACACTGAGCTCTTCTGTATGGCAGTATCTACAGGAGCCACAAAAGTGACCATTTCCTCCTGGAGAATCCTTCCGTCCTTCTGGAAGAAATGTGCCAGGGAAACATTTGGTAACCAGCTGTGGTTCATCCCAATCTCAGATGTCCTTTACACTATTTTACCTGTGCAGAGAGAGACTCCTGAAGACTTCTGAATTCACCATGCCATGCCATGAAGGATTGTCTCAGCTATAGTTACAAGAGGAGTAAAGTAAACTGTCAGATGATCTTAATTTTGTCCTTTTTTAGCTGACAGATTTTTGACTTTTCAACAAGTGTCACAGTTTTATTTTAATGTTGTTAGATACATCCCCTAGGTCTCTCACATGGATTGGCAATAATTCTGTTGTGAGCATACGTGGCAATGTTATTATCAAATGTTATCAGGATTATCAAGCTCTGAGCATCCACAGTTAGCCTGAACTCTGAATAACTACTGCAGCTGTCTGAAGGGATATCTAAGCAAGGGAAGATATATTTGGGGCTTGTACTGGCTTTGTGAAATATTTGAAAAATCCTGCTTTGGGTCTCTGCTTATATGGAGAAAGTGGGAAAACTCTTTGTTCACATGGTTCCTTCAGAGCTGAGAGTGAGACCCTGAGGCCATGCGACACATCTGAGGGAGACTGCAAGGAAGGGAAGGTGGTTTAGATTTCCCTCCCTGCTCTATACTCAGGGAGGTTTTCTGCACAGAGCTCCTGATGTAGCAGGTGTTTCTGGTTATTTTGTTGTGTGTCCAAGCATTACTGTTCAATTGTTATTTTGGCATGCTGCCATGGCTTTCCTGAGAGATGGGACTGGCACCACACATGTACCTGGGACATAGACAAATGGAATTTCATGAGAAACACTACAGGTATTCATCTTCAGGGCTTTCTTCTCGCTGAATTTCAAAGGCCTGCTGTAAACAATGAAAGCATGGAAATGTTGAACTGAGGGTCAAACTAGGATTCCCTTTGTCTGATAAGAAATACTAGGCAAAGCATACCTCTCACACTAAAATACATAGATATAAATATAACTAGTTTTAACTACAGAAGTACTTTTTAGCTGTTTAATAAATTAAGTATTTCATAATAGCACATTTATAATTTTTTTTCCCAGCATCTTTTACAGATTTCAGGGAAAACCACGGTAGAGAAAAAAGATCTTGTCCATGACACAGAGTATAATGACACTGGAATGCTCCTCTCCTTGTGAATAAGGACAGCTGCCACTTGGTAGATTGGAAATATGAAACAGATGGATTAATTTCTGGTTTTGATTTAAAATTATTACCCCTTTATCAAAAAAAATTTTTAGCTGCACAAGGATATGAGCAGAGCTTCACATGCTAGAAAACACATGGGGAAATTTATGTTTGCATTCACTCCCAGTGGGATTTTGCATATGCACAGATAATAAAATTATTCCTATCTCTTGGACTGGGAGTAGAAATGTAACCTTCCATGGAGTGAAGGTGGGGAGTTTAGATTATATATCAAGCTTTACAGTATGTTTTCATCATCATTGCAGTGCTCTGGGGAAGCCATGGATTCACCTCAGCACTTTTCTTGGAAGATGGAGCATTTAATTTAAATCAGAAAATTCCTATGATTTGTTGTCTTTATGAACATTTCCTTTTAAAACAGGAGATGTACAGATATTCCCCAGGATTCACCTCAGCACTTTTCTTGGAATCCTGAAGATGGAGCATTTCATTTAAACCAGAAAAT